CCACCCCAAGGACTTTGCTGTGGGCGATGACGTGCTGCTGCTGCCGCCGAAGCGCGGCAAAGTGGGCAAGCAGCTGGGCCGCAACCGCATCGTGTGCCGCGTGGTGGAGATCAAGCGGCCCTTTGGCGTGACCATGTACCGGCTGCGGAGCGGAGCTGGAGTGGTGGAGGGTATGCATCAGGCCAGCAGGCTATCTAAGGCGCCACCCAGCCTGGCCAGCGAGCTGACCTTCAGCGGCACGGCGCAGCGAGGAGTGCCTGTGGTGTCTCTCAATGTGGCGATGGCGGCGCAGCCCGGCGGCGGCAAGGCAGCCGTGCGCTGCGGCTGCCGCGGCGCCTGCACCCGGAACTGCAGCTGCAAGAAGAATGGTGCGCGGTGTGGGCGGCACTGTGGCTGTATAACCGGTAAGGGTGGCAATTGCAAGAACCATTGAAGAAGTGTGCCTTGTACGCTTTGCCGTCTCCGCTGAAAGGTGCTGCCGCCTGTGGCGGCTTCATATTTCCTGTTCATTTCTGTTGTTCGGTCTCTCTGTTCGTGTTGGTTGGCTTGTAAGAGTTGTATTTCTGACGCTAGAGAGGTGAGATGACAGCGGGAGCGTTGAAGCGTGCATGCCATCACGTGTGCAAGCAGCCCCGCTCCGCCCCGCTCAACCCTCAAACATGGCTCTATGGGGTCAGTTCACGTATGGGAGGGGAGCGCCGCGCGGGCTGCCAGGAGCGAGCGGGGGCGGGGGTTGCCCAATCGGGAGGGTGCCACATCAGGGGGCAACACATGTTCGCCTGGTGCGACTCCGGCTTCTCAGGTTGACATGCACGCGAATGGCCCTGGCATGAGGGGACTCTGGAGGTGCCGCACCCTCCCTCCTGCTCCCGCCAACTGATCTCGTCTGATCAACCAGTTTTGCCGACGAACTGAGCAGCCACCATGGCGCAGACGACTTCGGGCTGGTTTAGCCGTCTTAAGGGGCGGGCCAAAAGTGGGCTTGCCGGAGTGGGGGCGGCGGCCCTGTCCGCCACCGCCCTCGGCTTCGTTGTGGCCCGCCGCCGCGTCGAGGCGAGTGCGCCTTGCTTGGCGGCCCCGGCCGCCCCCTTGCGCAGCCTATGATTCTGCAGCTCCATGCGGCTGTTGTGTGGCAGCTGCCGCAGGCGTGAGCGCGCCTTCCCACCTCCGGCGCTCCCCGCTTCCCTGCAGGCCACTACCGCGCTTCCCGCCGAGGGCTTCATTCTTGAGCTGGACCTGGAGGCCAGCTCGGTTGTGGAGGTGACGCGGTCGCCGGGCCTGCAGTCGCTGCTGCAGCCCGGCACCGCGCAGCTGTCGCTGCAGGAGGCGACTGGGGCGCTGCGGGCTGCGGGCGGGGACCCTCGCGTGAAGGGCCTTCTGGCGCTGCTCGGGGGCCAGACGGGCATGGGGCTGGCGCAGGTGCAGGAGCTGCGGGATGCTGTGGCAGACTTCAGGCAAGTGCCCAGGAGCTGCAGCTTGTGCCGGCTGGCGTGGCTGGCAGCCCGAGCGGCTCTGCTGGGTCTGTGTCGGCCTGCCGTCTCACACCTCTCGTGCGCCCTTGTCTGCATGGCAGGCAGGCAGCCGCGGGCCGTGCGCCCACAGTCGCCTATGCCGACGCCTTTGGGGAGGGCGGTGCCGGCGGCACCGCCGCTTTCTACCTTGCCTCTGCCTTTGACGTGGTGGCGGTGCAGCCCGGGGGCCTGGTGTCGGTGACCGGCCTGGCAGCCGCCACACCCTTTGCCCGCGGCCTGCTGGACCGCTGGCGCATCGTGCCCGTCTTCTTTGCCCGTGAGGTGGGAGAGCCGACCAGGTGGCGGGGCAGGTGGCTGTGGGGCCCACGTCTCACCTGCATCCTCCAGCCGGCAGCAGATGGGTGCCTGCCTCCCCCATGCGCCCAGCATCTGGCCCCGCCTGCACCCCCACCCCGCCGCCGCCACCGCCGCAGGAGTACAAGAGCGCCGCCAACTTCCTGCGGTACCGCGGATCCACCCGCGCCGAGCGCGAGGCGCTGGGCGACCGGCTGGCCAGCCTGGGCGCGCAGGTGGTGCGCGGCATCGCGGCGGGCAGGGGGCTGTCGGAGGAGCAGGTGGGGCGGCGGCTTGGGGTGGCGGCCTGGGGTGGGGGCCTGCGCTGTGCTGGCCTGCGCTGTGCTGCCACGCCGTGGCCTGCACGCTGCGCGGCAGCTGCATGGCCACTGCATGATAGGTGGCCTGCCCGGGCTGCCCCAGCGCTGACGCGCGCCCCCCACCCTCCACCTCCCGCGCCCACAGGTTCGGCGCGCCATCGACGGCGCGCCGCACTTGGCCGCGGAGGCCGCCGCGCTGCGCCTCATCGACGCCCCGCTGCACCGCGATCAGGCGCGCAAGCTGGTGTCGCGGCTGCGCGAGGGCATGGCGCCGGCGCGGCCGCCCAGCGACAGCATCGCGGCGGCGCGAGCGGCGCTCACCGCCCTGGCCACCGGCCAGCCTGCGGAGGCGGTGGCTGCGGCCTTCCGCCAGCACCTGCACGCCATCCCAGACAGCCTGCTGCGCGCGGTGCTGGCGGAGCCGGATGGCGAGCCGGCTGCCTCCCTGCCGCACGTGCCCCTGTCCAAGTATGCGGCAGCGGTGGAGCGCGAGCGGCAGGCGCAGCAGGCGGAGCAGCGCTGGCTGCACCGCATGGCGCACCTGCGGGACCTGCTGGCCCCGCTGCCTGCTGCTGTGGTGGGCAGGGTGCAGGCAGCGCAGGCCAGGCTGGCGGAGGCCTCAGGGCAGCAGCCTGCGGAGGGCGCGGAGGGTGCAGGCCAGGCCGCGGCCCCGGAGGAGGCGCCGGCGGGCCCTGCCCCGCCCGCCTCAGCCACGCCCACGCCCTCGCCCGCCGCGCCTGCCAACGGCGCCGACCAGCAAAGCGACGGCGGCGACCTGCCCGCTGTGGCTGTGCTCACGCTGACCGGCCCCATCCACCTGGGCACCGAGCCCTCCCGCACCTCGCCGCCCCTGGGCGGCGCTTCCCCCGACGCCATCGCCTCCCTGCCCGTGATCAAGGCACTGAGGGCCGCCCGCCAGGACCCCGCCGTCAAGGCGTGCGTGCTGCGGGTGGACAGCCCAGGTGTGGGGGTGTGGGGCGCCTGGCCTGGGGTGGCGTTGTCTGTGAGGCCGCCTGATGCTTGCCCCCACCTGATGCTTGCCCCACCAGTCTCCTCTCCCCTTCACTGCCTGCCTGCCTGCCCTGCCCTGCCATGCCTGCAGGCGGCTCCGCCGCCGCCTCCGAGGCCATCCACCGCGAGGTGTCGCTGGTGGTGGGGGCGGGCAAGCCTGTGGTGGTGTCCATGGGAAACGTGGCGGCCAGCGGTGAGCATGCGCGCTGGTGGGGGGGCGTGCCTGCCTGCCCTGTGGCCCCTCCCTCCTCTCCTCCACCCTCCACCAGCTCCCCCCTGCTCGTGTGTGTGATGTGTGCCCCCCTGCAGGCGGCTACTACATCGCCACCGCCGCCAGCAAGATTGTGGCGCAGCCGGGCACGCTGACAGGCAGCATCGGGGTGCTGGCAGGTGCGGCAGGCTGCGCACGCTTTGCTAGCTCCTACGCCCGCCCCGCCCCACTTCTCACCACACACACACACCTGCATGCACGCGCGCACGCACACCCCCGCACGCTCGCCTCAACCCTGTCCCCGCAGGCAAGCTGGTGTGTGACGCAGCCCTGCGCGAGTACGGCGTGAGCGTGGAGGTGGTGACGGTGGGCCGCTCCGCCGCCGCCATGTCCCCCCTCACTCCCTTCACCAGGCACCAGCGGCGGCGGGTGGAGGAGTTCATGGACGCAACCTACGCCCTGTTCAAGCAGGTGGGCGGCACGGGGTGGGCTGCGCAATGGCTTGTTGTCATGTTCTTTCCTCGTGCACGCATGTATGCCCGGCTGCATGCACTCCACCACAGCGTCACCCTGGCTGCCACCCTACCGCCCCCACCCGCCCCACCCCGCAGCGTGTGGCCGAGGGTCGGGGCCTGAAGCCCGAGGCGGTGGCCAAGCTGGCCAAGGGGCGGGTGTGGACGGGGGAGCAGGCAGTCGAGGCGGGGCTGGTGGACCAGCTGGGCGGGCTGCAGGCGGCAGTGGAGCTGGCCAAGCGCGAGGCGGGGCTGCCGCTGGAGGAGGGGGCGGTGGAGCTGCGCCAGGCCTACCCAGAGAAGAAGTCGCGGCTGGCTGCCGCGCTCAAGCTGGTGCGCGGGGAGGACGCCGGCGGCGATGGCGGCGCCGCGGCGCAGCCAGCGCCCGCGCCCGCTGCCGCCGCGGCGCTGGCTGCCGTGATGGCTGCGACTCTGGGCCGCCCGCTGAGCGGCGCGGAGCTGGCGGTGCTGCAGCAGCTGCAGGTCGGCATGATGTCGCCTCAGCTGCTGTCCCTCGACGCCGTGCGCCTCGCCGCCGCAATCTGAGTCCCATGATGGACTGACCCTGCCGTGTCGCACTGCTGGTAGCGGCTTGCCCCTGGAATTAAAACATGCTGCTGTACCCATCACAACCTGTGCCCATCACAACCTGCATGTTTATCTGTAAATTATGGGAACGCGAAAGCTGGCTCTTTTAATGGAATGCCCAGTGCGCATCGTCGCCCGCCGCCGCCGCCATTCTGGCGTCCTGGGTCCTTTCATGCCACAGGCGCGCTGCCGGCGATCGGGGCCCCTCTTTCCCGTCATCTGGCTCTAGGCGCTCACAGGATGCAGGTTGCCACGATGCAGAGCGCGGCTCGCGCGCAGAGACTGGGGTGAGGGGTTGCGGTGGGAGATGCCGGACCACGCGCATTGGGCCTGAAACGGTGCCTGACTGCCCGATCGCGATGCCCCCTGCAGTGCTGCGGTGCGCCGCGGCAAGCAGGCCCGCCGGCAGGTGGTGGTGCAGGTGCGGCGCCAGGGGCGGTGGCGTCAGCAGCCTGGCGCGGGTGGCAGGCGGGTGGCAGGGTGGGCAGCCTTTGGCTGGGCGTGGGGCCTGCATGTGGGCAGCCACTCTGGTAGCGACCATGGACATCCAGCGGCATTTGGTGGCACTGAACCAGCTCGGCAGCGAGCTCCAGCACCCCACTCAGGCATCACCGCCCTCCACCAACCCAAAGCTGCCACACGTGCCCTGCCTGCCCCTCCCGCCCGCCCCGCAGGCCGCCTCTGACACCAAATTTGCCGACTACCAGCCCAAGGTGGCCTTCTTCTTCCCCGGCCAGGGCGCGCAGACGGTGGGGATGGGCAAGGAGGTGGCGGAGGCGGTGCCCGCCGCCAGGCAGCTGTTTGACCGCGCCTCTGACATTCTGGGCTACGACCTGCTGGCGGTGTGCGCAGAGGGTGGGTGGGCGGGCGGGTGCGGGGGCAGGGGCCGCCTGTGTGTGCTTGGGCTGCGCACAGACGGTGTGCTGGCAGGCCGCGCAGCCGCCGCTCCTTGCCTGCAAGACGTGTCAATCGCTGCTGCTGCGAACGCCTCCATCGCCCCGCCCGCCCTCCATCACCCGAGTGACTGACTGAGACCGCAGAGAACCGTGCAAGACACAAACCCCACCCATCACCTCACCAAGCACACCCCTCATCCCGCCCACCCACCCACCACCACCACCCCCGCAGGCCCCAAGGACAAGCTGGACTCCACCGCCGTCAGCCAGCCCGCCATCTACGTGGCCAGCCTGGCGGCGCTGGAGAAGCTGCGGGCAGAGCAGGGGGAGGAGGCGGCGGCCGCCGCCGACGTCTGCTGCGGCCTGTCCCTGGGCGAGTACACGGCGCTCACCTACGCCGGCGCCATCAGCTTTGACGACGGCCTGCGGCTGGTGAAGCTGCGCGGGGAGAGCATGCAGGCGGCCGCGGACGCGCAGCCCTCGGGCATGGTGTCGGTCATCGGCCTGTCGGCAGACAAGGTGGGGGTGGAAGGGGCGGCGGGGAAGGACAAGGAGGGGCGCTGCCGCGGCGCCGACCGCCGGAGCGCGGGGTGGTGCTCTTCGCATCCTGGCTGGAGTTGGGGTGGGGGTGGGGTGGAGTGTCACATGCGCTGCTGCCGCCACCGCAACCTCCGCTGCCCTGCCTGCCTCCCCCCCTGCCTGCCTCCCCCTGCCAGGTGGCGGAGCTGTGCGAGGCCGCCAGCCAGGAGGCGCCGCAGGGGCAGGGCGTGCGCATCGCCAACTTCCTCTGCAACGGCAACTACGCGGTCAGCGGCGGCATCGCGGGGTGCGAGGCGGTGGAGCGGCTGGCCAAGGGGTTCAAGGCGCGCATGACGGTGCGGCTGGCGGTGGCGGGCGCCTTCCACACCGACTTCATGGCGCCGGCCCGCGAGCAGCTGCAGCAGGCGCTGGCGGGCACGACCATCCAGGTGGGGGACCGAGGGCGGCGTATGTGTGTGGGTGTGCGCGTGTGCATGGGGGTGTGCCGCCACGCCGGTGCGGGGGCTGCCCGGCGCCGGCGCCGGCGCGCCACCTGGCTTTCCAGGCGCCTCGTGGCCAGCTCAACCTCCCCGCCCACCCCTCTCCCGCCTCTGCCCTTGGGCGCAGGAGCCGCGCATCCCCGTCATATCTAATGTGGATGCTGCCCCCCACTCCGACCCCGACACCATCAAGAAGATCCTGGCACAGCAGGTGGGGTGGTGTGGTGGGGTGCTGCCTGGTGTGGAGGGACTTTAGGGAGGGACGCAGCTGTGGGGCGAGGAGCGGCGGGGTCCCGCTCAGCGGTGCGCCCCAGCTGCGGCGCCCCGGCTGCCCCTGAGAAGCGCCGCACCTGGCCGCACCGCGTTGTGTTGCTATGGTGCAGCTGACGGCGCCGGTGCAGTGGGAGACGAGCGTGAAGACGCTGCTGGACAGCGGGCTGGAGCGCAGCTACGAGATCGGGCCCAACAAGGCAGGCCGCCTGCGGGGCGTGTGCCTGTGCTGCTGCTTGTTGCTGCTGCTGCTGCGCTTGCTGGCACACATGCACAAGCCTTCCACCAGTTGCCACCTGCATCCCTGCATGCATGGATGCATGCCTGCCCGCCCGCCTGCCCGCCACCTGGCCGCTGATTGTCGAAACAATGAACAATCCTATGCCGAAACTCAGTAGTGTTGAGATGCAACACGTTTTGATGAGGCCCTGGTGCTGCGCTGCCCTGGCCATGCACCCTGCTGCGCGTCTGCACACATCCTCTGCATCGCCGCTGCGCATCAATCCAGCGACCACAATTGGTGCCAGGCCCAACCCTCCCCCTCCCTGCCAACACCTGCAGGTCATCGCCGGCATCATGAAGCGCATCGACAAGGTGCGGCACACAGCCTGCCTGGAAAGGCTGGTCGCGGCGCTGGGAGGGGGCACCAGCTTTCCCATGCTCTGGCCTCACCGTGCCACGCCCGCCCTGTGGACCCTGCCTGCAGAAGCACAGCATCGAGAACATCACCGTCTGAGCGGCCGCAGGCAGCGCCGAGAGAGAGAGGACTACGCTCACAGGGCCACGCAGCTCAGCTGTCCGTTGTAAGCACAGAAATGGACGCAGCGTGCCCATGTGTTGCCTCACTGTTGTGCCCATGTGTTGCCTCACTGTTGTGCGAGTGTTCAGCCAGCCCTGCAAATTGCCCCCCTCAATCGCTTTCCATCACATGACCTGCCCCTCTTTTCCCTGTGTGCATGCCAGCCAACCGCCTCATCTTTGTGCACTGCCCCATTCACTGCTTCTGCACTGCCTAGCAAAAGGCACGACAGTTCGCAGCTCGCCTCTATGGCAGTTTCAAGGGGAGCCAGGCGCAACGGGCTTGCAGCAGCACACAGCGGCTGCGCATGTGGGTGCCCTCCTAGCTGTCAATGCTCCCGCCTGCCCGCCCGCCCAGCTCACGCCACCTGCTGCACGGGCGGGGTGGGCCCCACCACGTCTGTGCCCAGCGCCGCCGCATCGCCCACGTGCCCCACGTTGACCAGCAGCTGCGCCAGCCAGCGCCGCGTCGTCACATCGTCCTTGAGGCACGCAGTGAACTGAGGGTTGCGCAGCAGGTCGGGCAGGCACTGGCGCAGCGCCTCGCGGGCACGCGGGTTGTCGCTGCGGGCGGGAACGGGGGCGAGCGCGTGCGCTGGTGAGGGGAGGGGAACGGGAGGCCCTGCCACAACGGCACAGTGCGGCATCCGCGGCAAGGTGGCAGAGATGCGCAGGCAGCGGCAAAGGGCAGGCACGCAGCCAGGCGCACTCCTCGGCCCCCCCAGCCTGGCCCTTGCCCTTGGGCCCCCCTTGCGCACCTCAGGCGCAGGTAGCAGCGGATGATGTGCTTGAGCAGGCGCACGCTGGGCTGCTCCGCCAGGCCCGTCACCATGCTGCTCAGCACGGCTCCCACGGCGAAGAAGCGCTCGGCGGTGGCGCAGATGTAGGAGAGGCCCACGCCGTCCAGCAGGATCTTCTGCACGATGAAGGTGGCCACCGTCTTGGACAGCTCGCTGCCCGTCTCCATGGTGCGCAGGCACAGCGGGATGATCTCGGTGGACAGCAGGAAGTTGATGACCTCGGTGTCGTCCACCTGGGGGAGGGGAGGGGAGGAAAGGAAGGAGCGGCGGTAGACGTGAGAGCAGCCCGGCAGCAGCGAGGGGGAGCTCTCCCTGCGCCCAGCCAGCCCCAGCTCGCTGCCGCCGCCGCGGCTGCTGCGCGCACCTTGACCAGCGCTCCGATGACCCCCAGGCTGGTGAGCCGCAGGTACTCAAAGGGCCGCGTCTTGCTGATGGTGTTGAGGAAGGGGTACAGGAAGAGCGGGATGTGTGCTGCGGGGCGGGGGAGGGGGGGGAAGAGGCGGACCAAAGGGTGGAGGGGCTGTGTGTGGTAGCGGGAACGTGCTGGTAGGAGGGGCAGGGCGGGATGCGTCCCTGCTGCGAGGTCAACACGGTCCCGGCACATGCGGCTGTCGCCGGCTGCGCAGCGCCTGACGGCAGCGGGCGCACCTTGCAGGAAGAGGCTGCGCGTCTCGGGGTGCGAGGCCACGCACTGCAGCAGCGCCAGCGCGTTGCACACGCGGTTGGAGGCGTGCGCGGTGAGCGACGGCGGCTGCAGCATGGGGTAGATGCTGACAATCTCCTGCAGCAGCGCCGCCATCGTGCCAAAGCTGTGCCACAGGTAGGGCGCCAGCTCCGGGAACGACTCCCGCTTCTTGCTCAGCTCCAGCAGCGCCGTCTCCTTGGCCGCCGGCACCGTCAGGTCGAGGACCAGCGCCTCCTGCAGAGGACCGTGCGGCGGCAGCGGTCAGAGGCGACGAGTGGTGGGCGGGGAGTGCAGGGCAGCAACTGCAGTGCGCTGAGCGGGCTGGCTCGCCCAAGGGGCGAGCAGCCGGGCGTCAGCTGATGTGCCGCCGGGCTGCCCGCAAGAGAATCAGCTAGCGGCCAAACGAACACACCATCGCTAGGTTTGTGGGAAATCAGGCCAGAAGGGCTGGAAATCGGCAGGGGCTGCAGAGTGGAGGTGGCTGTGTGGGAGCGAGCGTGCCTGGCTGCAAACGGCAGGGACCGAGACTGGGACTGAGCGGGGAAGGGCGATCGGGCGCAAGGGCATGGGGAGCCGGGGGCGTCATCTGCCAGAGACCTGTACTGCCTCTGGTTCGTTGCAGTCGATGTCCTGGTTCCTAGCCCATACTAGGTGCACTCTGCGACTCGCTGGTTACGCCCTGGGTTTCTGTCAGCGACTGATCTCCCGCCCACTTCAATCGGGTGCTCCTAAACAGGCCCTGGCAGCGCACAGGGACCTCATACTGGTTACTGCAGCTGGTGAGACATCTCCCGACCGGCCCCAAGCCGCTTCACACTCGTTGCGCCAGACGCTGCCTGTGCCCAAGCAGGGCTGCGCGCACGCCTCAGCCGTCCCCATTACCGCCTTGATTGCAGAGCAGCACACACATGGCCACCTGAGTTCGGCCACAGCACCACCACCTGCCGCCACCCTTCGCCGCCGCGCCCCACCGCCCAATCAACAAAGCCCGTTGCAGCCATGCTGAGCAGTGCGGCCAGCAGCGTGCGGGACCGCACGCCAGAGTTCCAGCAGATTGTGGCACGGCTGCAGCAGCAGCAGGGCCTGCCCAGCTCCAGCGGCCAGGGTGCCGCGGCAGGTGAGGCGAGGGGGTCTTGCCGCCTTCCGAGCTGTTTGCTTGCTAGCCTGTTTGGCTGGCCTGTTTGGGCGCATGAGCTTCTGGATAGCTCCCGCCTGCCTGCCGTCGCTGCACCGCTCACCGCACGTTGCCGCCTGCGTGCCTGCAGCCGCCCTGGCCGGCCCGAGCAGCGGGCCGCAGTCGGAGTTTGCGCGGCGGGCGGGCAAGATTGGCATGGGCATCCACAGCACCAGCCAGAAGCTGCAGAAGCTGGCGCAGCTGGCGCGGCGCACCTCCATGTTTGACGACCCGGCCGAGGAAATCAACGAGCTGTCCACGGTGGTCAAGCAGGACATACAGGTGGCCGCATGTGGCAGGCCTGCTGGTGGCGGCGGGCCTGCTGGGCTCTGGGGCCGCCTCGGGGCGGCACCGGGGCAGGGTGGCGGCAGCTGGGAGGGATGCGGCTGCGCCTGTTGAGCATGCAGTTTGTGGACGGCAGCAGCAGCGCGGCGGCAGCAGCGCGGCGCCGGCGTGCCCTCTCCATTTTGGCGTGCCCTCTCCATTCTGGCCTTGCCCCACCCCGCCCTCCCCGCCCTCCCCGCCCTCCTTGCCCGCCCCCGCCCTCTCCCCTCGCAGGCCCTCAACCAGGCCATCTCCGACCTGCAGACCTTCTCGGGGGGCGGCCCCAACAAGCAGTCGTCGGACCACAGCCACACCGTGGTGGACAGCCTGCGCAGCCGGCTCAAGGACGCCACGCAGGAGTTCAGGGATGTGCTGACCACGCGCACAGACAGCCTCAAGGCGCACCGCGAGCGCAAGTCCATGTTCTCAGCGGCGCCGGAGGCCGGCGCCAGCAGCAGGCAGCCGCTGTTCAGCCAACCAGGTGCGTGCGGCCGGGTCTGACTGCAGCTGCACCGCCGCGCTTGATGTGCTGCGCTTGTCCTCTTCATGCTGCCCACAGCATGCCCTCATCTTCCCCCTCCCGCGCCGCACCGCCCGTCGCAGGCGCCAGCTTCCTGCCGCCCAACGCGCGCAACCCGCTGGGTCAGCCCGCGGTGCGCGGCGGCTTGCAAGGCGGCGGCGAGGGCGAGTCGGCGCCGCTGCTGGGCGGCGGCGGCGGGGGCCAGCAGCAGCAGCAGGCGCTGATGGTCCCGCAGCAGGACCAGTACCTGGCCAGCCGCAACGAGGCGCTGCACCAGGTGGAGTCGACCATCGTGGAGCTGGGGGGCATCTTCCAGCAGCTGGCGCACATGGTGGGTGGGGCAGAGGGCCGCGGTGGTGGCTCCTGCAGGGGACGGCTGCACAGGTGTATGTGGCTGCGGCGGCAGCGACCGCGACCGCCGCCACAACCTCGGCCTGCCCCTGCCCCCGGCACCCTCCTGAGCGCAGGTGCATGAGCAGGGGGAGATGGCGATGCGGATTGACGAGAATGTGGACGACACGCTGGGCAACGTGGATGCGGGGCAGGCGCAGTTGCTCAAGTACCTCAACGCCATCTCGGGCAACCGCCTGCTGGCCATGAAAGTGCTGGGCGTGCTGTTCCTCTTCCTCATGTTCTTCATCGTCTTCATTGCGTGATCCCCAACCTACTCTCTGTTGCAACACTCGAATGCATGGAGTCGTATGTCCAGCCGTGCGGGCGGCGGTGGCGGTACGCGCGCGCCTGTGCGGGACATGAGCAGGATAGGAAGGATGGGTGGGGTGCATTCGAACTAACTGGCTATGACCTTCTGTCATTAGGCCCGCTTCTCACATTATCCTGGGTTCAGGGTTCGTGTGTTCCATTCCATTGGGGTGTCTTGCTTCGCTTGTGCCCATGTCGGCTTGCGCCGGGGTGCCGGCACGCGGCACGCTGCCACAGAGCAGGTTACTACAACTGGGCGTGCACACAACCGGCAACGGAGGTTCTCAGGTTCCAGAGCAAGCGCGTGGCGCCTGCAACAGCGCCTGGCTAGCCGCTCCCAGGCATAGGGGCAGCGCGCAGAGCAGAGGATGGCGGCGGGCTGGGGTTGTGGCCAGCGCCAGCGGCGGAGGCGGCGATGGCAAGGCGGCAGTTCGTGGCAGCGAGACGACGCTGAAGCTGCAGCTTGAGCTGCTGGGCACGTTGCTGGTCAGGTCGGTAAGGGCGGTTGCCAGGGCGTGCTGGTGTGGTGGAAGGGCTGGCTGGCAAGCCTTGGCACCACCGGCAGCTCCCGCCGCCGCGGCTAATTGCAGTGCCGCCTGCCTCCCACCAGCGTGATCATCCACCCCGGCCTGTCCCCTGCCCTGCCCCCTCCAGATACCCCGGCGTCACCGGCAGCCTGGCCGTGGCGGGCGGCTACCTCCTGCACCTCAACGCCCTGCCCATGCACTGGGACAGCCACGACGCGCTGCTGGGCCTGCAGTGCGCCGTGCCCGTGGTGGCCCTCGACTCTTTCCTCATGCTCCCAGACTGGTCCCCCGGCACCACCACCAAGGTCATCAAGATCAAGGCGCCCAAGTCGGTGGCGGAGAAGCTGAGGCAGCGAGAGGCGGGCGCCGCGGGCGGCGGCGCCGCGCAGCAGCAGCAGCAGCAGCAGCAGCAGCAGCAGCAGGAGGGCAGCGAGGAGCTGCCCGCGGGGGCGCTATCGGCGGTGGCAGACGTGATCACCACCACCGAGCAGACGCCCCGCAGCAGCAGCGGCGGCGAGAGCAGCGGCGGCGATGCCGGCGGTCCAGGCAGCGGCGCGGCTGGCCAGCAGGGTGTCGTGGCAGGGCCTGGGGAGCCCGCTGGCGAGGAGCTGGTCGACATTGAGCGCACCATCGCCGTGCGGGCCGACCAGCACCCCGCGCTGGCGGCGCTGTACCGTGTGCAGATGGTGAGGGGGCGGTACGGTGGGGCCACGCCTGCACGCCTCTGCCTGGGGGCCACCGCGTGTGGGGGCCACCGCGTTTGGGGCCACCGCGTGTTGTGCCCAACCGCCCGCGCCTGCTGCCCGGGCGCAGGGCAAGGCCACCGACAATGTGGGGCGCGTGCTGTGGCTCCCGCTGGAGCTGGTGCTGGTGCTGACCTGGCACCTGGCGGAGGAGGTGGGCTGCCCCGAGCCGCCGCGCTGCGCCGCTCCTGCTTGCACACGCCCTTGCCGCATGGCCCGGGCGCTGCCGGGAAGTGGAGGGCCACGGCACTACCTTGCCCAGCACCCGGCGCCAGCGCGCCACACACGCACACACACACACGTGCGCGCACCACCACCTCCGCCCCGCCTCACCCCCGCCCACAGATGCTGTACCGTGCCATCATCCTCACCTGGGCCGCGGGGTGGACCATCGACCGGCTGTACGAGGCGGGGGCGGAGGAGGCGGTGGGGCTGCTGGGCCTGCAGCTGGCCACGCCGCAGGCGGGCGCGGTGCTGGCCGCCGTGGGCTGCACCGCGGCCAGCCTGGCCATCCTGGTGCAGCAGGCCTTCTTCCCGCTCAGGCTCATCTCGGCGGCGGAGGAGCAGCTGGATGTGAAGGAGGCGCAGGTGAGGGTGGGGCCCAAGGCGCGGGAGGAGCGGGCGCGCATGCGCAAGGTGCTGACCAAGGTCAAGGACGGCATGGTGCGGCAGCGGCGGTGGAGCACGGCGGTGGAGGGGGCGCGCGACGTCACCGAGTGGGCCGCCTACGCCACATCCTTCCTGCTCACGGGTGGGTGGGGTGGGGGTGGGGGTGGCCTGGAGGGGTGGCCTGGGGGGGTGCCACGCGGGGCATTCCTGTGGCGCAGCCTTGCAGCTAGTCCGGCAGCTGCACTTCGCGAGGGAGCTGGGCTCAGCCACCACCACCACCACCACTGGCCCCCTGCCCCGCTGCAGGCAACCTGCTGGCCCCCTATATCGCCGCCGTCACCTCCGACCTGCTCTTCTCCGGATACCAGAGGGTCAGGGCGCGGCAGATGGAGCGCAGCCAGGCGGAGGCGATGAGCACCATCCGCGACCTGCACCAGACCGCGCTGGCTCTGAAGGATGCTCGCAAGGCTGCGCTGCAGCCGACGCCGCTGCCCGCCAGCAAGGCAGACGAGGCCGGCCAGCTGGGCGGCGCCAGCGGCGAAGGCAAGGGCGAGGGCAGCAGCCTGGCCGAGGCGGCAGCGGAGGCTGGCGTGGTCGGCGAGCCGGAGAAGGCCGCTGCCGCTGCCGCTGCCGGTGCAGCCAAGGACAGCGACTGAGCGGCTTCCCAACTGCGCACTGCAGCTGGAGGCGCATGTGAACCTCATGACCCCCACAACGATCTGCTCCCCTGATACTCTCTCATATATGATTAATTCAATCCATGTCCCAATGCTCTCCGTGTTCTCTAGCTTCTGTGCGGCTCGTGTGCTCTCTCCGCCATCTGCCCCAACCTTCCCCACCTCAGTTTTGGCAGCGCCGCCTCTCATGGGATACCCTCACCATGCCTGCTGCCACGCATATGTAGACCGGCGGGCCTCCTGCACCTCTCTCCTATGTTGTGTTGAATTGCATGGTGTGTAATGGCAGCAGTGCAAGCAGCACAGCGCGCTGTGCAATGAGTCCAAATCGGACACTCATGCTCGATGCACAAAACCAAGGAGGGCGGGAAGGGCGCAAATCGTGTACAGAAACTGAAGGAGGACACTGCGGCGAGTAGTGTACAGAGGCCCAGCCACAAACGCGGCAGATGACGCCACGCCGCCAGCTGGGCTCAGCCCCGGCACAGACCGCCAGCTCAGATCTGCACAGTGGGCAAACAAGGCGACGTTTGGCAGGAAAGCAGGGCTGCGCTCGCAGCTGCCAAACCAATCACTGGTGGGAGTCCAACCGATGCGTGGGCAGCTGGGGCTGCTGCTGAGCACGCCTCCCCCAACGCGGACAGCTGGGCCCACAGCCTGGCGGGCGGCTGCCACCACCCCCCGCCTCACCATGCTGTCAATCAGGCTTGCGCGCATCTCGTTCACAATCTTGGCGGCGTTGCTGTCCCTGAGCTTGAACACGCTCTCAATCACGCTCAGCTCGGTGGACGTGGTGTCCAGCCCGCAGAAGGCGGCCCAGTCGTTGACCACCAGCCCCGCGCCGATGACGTCGCTGCCGCGGTTGACGGTGCCCGCCACCAGCGGCACCTGCAGCAGGCTGGACAGCTCGTCCAGGTCCTCCACGCTGGTCTGCAGGGGGCGGCACGGCAGGCAGACCACCAGCAATGATCAACAACAGGGCTGCGAGTGGCGGCAAAGGGCAACAATGCTTGTGCAGACGGCGAGGAGGGGCATCCTTCGCCACAGCACAGCATCCGGCCGGCCATGCGCCGCCAGGCAAGGCAAGCGTGTGGCGGCGGGTTGGCCTGCGCACCTGTGGCGCCACCAGGCCTCCTTGGTTGGTGAACTGGCAGTAGCTGCCCACCAGCACGTTGCCGGCGATGGTCTGGCGGAACACCTCCACCCCGAGCACATCCGCCACTATCTCCTCCGTCTCCTGCACACAACCGGCGCCGCAGTAAACTTCAAGCACCCCCTCGGGACGAGCGCCAGAGCAGGACGAGCTTCAGAGCAGCTCCGCTCAGCGCCGCCTCAGCCAGCCCGCTGCCCCACAGCGCCCCACCCCGCCCACCTTGTCGATGTCGGGATGTATCAAGGCGACGTAGTCGTTGCAGGCTATGCAGTTGCCCAGCGCGGATAGCCGCTCGTCGATGCGCTGCACCACCACCTCGTCCGGCAGCGAGTTACGGATGTGCATCAGCTCTGCAGGAAGGGTTAGGGTGGGCTTCAGGCAGGCAGCATCACACCCGCCCACACCACCCGCTGCTTGCACGGCCCGGCTGCACCTGCCGCCAGCTGTGGGAGCACGCTGGCACATCGGATGGGTGCTGCCACATCGCCCGCTCTGCCCCCCTGCGCACCTTGGTCTGTCGTGGTATTGGGCAGCAGCAGGCCGTTGCGGTTGCCGACCGTCATCCGTCCCACCAGCCGCGTCCCCGCCACCGACGTCTTGATCACCGGGATGTGGTCAGCTAGCTCCGCCTCAAACACGCTGCAGCACCGGCGCAGGTGGCCCGCAAGCGGTGCCAGCCGTGAGGCAAGTCCCGAGGGACTTGCGCCGCCGCACCATGCATTACCCGCGGCTCCGGGCCACCGCTGCGACAGCCTCGGCTTGCCTGTAGAAGTTCTCCGCCGCGCCCAGGGCCGTAATGGCATAGGCGTTGGTCAGGGTGGCGAAGCAGCCTGCGTCATTGCTGCCTTCGAAGTCGCATCGTGAGGCCATTTTAATTGAGGAAGGGTACACAAAGAAGAAGGGTGAACAGCGCGTGCTGCTGTCCAGCTCCTCCAGCGGCACTACCGCAGTACGTGGCTTCCCTCTCCCGAACACATACCTGCACAGGTCGCCCTGTGCACCTGCTTCAGGGGGCGCATGGGTGACGCCTTACAGAACACTGCCCAGCGGAAGAATACTGGTAGCAAAGCACAGCCTGGGCATGGTGGCCTTGGCATTGATTTAAGCCTGGAAGAGGGCTGGATCTCGATTCACACAGGAAGCAGCATAGGGGTGAGCTGATGCAGATGCAAACGTGAAACTTGGCCCCGCTTGTCGTCCTGCGGCCTACACAGCTGCAGCATGCCGAATGCTGCCCGCGCCGGCTGTGCTTGGCCCCACAGGGCGGTGCCGCCGCTCCCCTCCGCCGCCCGCCCCTCCGCCTCCGCCGCCGCCCCGCCGCCTGCTTGCTGCGGTTTCAACTTCTGCTGCCACAGATGTAGAGCATCTGCAGGCTCCTGCGGTGCCTGCAGCACGCAATCCCTGCTCCTGCACCAACTGACTGCTGCACCGTCCCTTCCCTGCCTCGCCGGTCATCCTACCCGCCTGTCAACAGGCTCCCTCCCTAGACCAACCCACATGGGCAGCAGCGCCCCGAGGCTACTCAGGGTGAGCGATGCTGGGCGGCAGGCTGGACGCGCATCGGCTGTGCTGCAGGCTGGCGGTGGCGCCAGCGGTGGCAGCCACACCCTCTCTGCCGGTGCCCGTCACTCGCGCCTGCTGCCCTGCTGTGCTCCCTGCAGGGCGTGCGCTCGCTAGAGGGGCTGCGCTTGCGGCTGGTGGATGCCAAGGGGCAGGTGGTGGGCCGCCTGGCCTCGCAGATAGCCACCATCCTGCAGGTGGGCCGACCGGCGGGGCGGTGCCAGGCAGCTTTGCCTTGCTGCACAAGAGGGCTGCCTGCCACAGCCAGGGCCAGATGTCTTGCCACGCCGCTGCACTATGCCGCCCCCACCCCAACCTTCCTGCTGCCGCTCTCGCTCCCTGGCCGCAGGGCAAGGACAAGCCCACCTACCGCCCCAACGCGGACGATGGCGATGTGGTGGTGGTGGTGAATGCGGGTGAGGTGGAGCTGACGGGGCGCAAGTGGGACCAGAAGCTGTACCGCTGGCACACCGGCTACCCGGGCGGCCTCAAGGAGCGCACCGCCAAGCAGATGGCGGCCAAGAAGCCGGACGCCGTGCTGCGCGGCGCCGTGCTGGGCATGCTTCCCAAGAACAACCTGCGGCGGGTGAGGCGCGGGCCCTGGCGGGAGAGAGAGAGAGAGCCCTGGGAGGGAGATGGCGACGCGTGAGGCCGGGAACTGACGCCTCAGCACTCCTCCTCGCGCTGCGTGCCGGGGGGATGCATTCCCCACCGCCCCGCCGCCCTTCACCCCCCCCTGCCTTGCCCTGCTTCCCCCTGCAGTCCATGGCCCGCAAGCTGCGCATCTTTGCGGGGGAGCGGCACACGTTTGAGGGTCACCCCGGCCTGGTTCCCTTTGACATGCCGCCCCGCAAGCTGCGCGAGAAGGGAGAGCTGTTTGAGCTGCCGCCCGGCTTCGAGCCCTTCAACCCAGAGGCCTACTACAAGCGCTTTGGCCACCGGCTGGACAGGCA